TGCAGGCTGAGTGAAGCAGAAGATTTCCAATCTGGTTTCAGGTTGATGAATGCATGTGTTGACCTTCCAATTCTGGCGCGCTTTGACGTCGTCACCCGTGCTGCGTGCCTGTGGTTGACACCGTGCTTCCTAGATGAGTGAAGCAGGCAATATTCGTTAAATCTATCCCATTGATGGTGATTAGTGCTGGTTGTTATTGTTTTTTCTGTTCGTTGGTTGTCTTCATCAACTTCGTGTTTTCTATAATCATCTCAAGTCTTGTCTTCTCTGGCTGCTTCTTCAGCCCGTTTGTTGGTCTAATATTAGGCAAATTTTATGATTGGTGATCGACAAACTACATTATAGTTCACCATACATGAAACAGTTGCATTAGAACTAGTCAGCGTTGACCACGAAGTAATTTAGAAACTACTCGAGTACTACGGCGTACCCCAAATATTCATCAACCTCACTCAACAGCTGTTCGACAACGAAACATGTCAAGTAATCCACAACGGAAAACTCAGTGAGGCATTTGGAGTAAACACAGGAGTCAGACAAGGCTGCTGGCTTATTATCACCCACGTTGATATTCCTAATTGTGGTGGACTGACTGGATTATGCGTCAGACAGTGGGAAACGAGAAGACAAGGATATCCTGGACAGACAGACGTGAAGAACCTAGAAGCCCTTGATTTCGCGCGTGGATGATTTATGCTTAATGTCACACAAAATCGAAGACTTCCAAGCGAAAACCGACAAACTGGTCGAAGAAGCAGTCGGCGAAGACAGGACTCCAGGTGGACATAGACAAGACGGAAGTTATGAAAATAACCAACCAACTGACAGCAACAACAACATCAGCTGCAACATCCAGCGCCAATCACCATCATCGGGAAGGATTTGAAAGAGGTTACTTCACTCACTCACTCACTTATCTAGGGAGCATTGTCTCAACTACAAGCAGTCGGAACGGATGAGGATGTCAAATCGAGTGAGGATCGGATGGGGAGCGAGAAACACATTCATCAACCTGAAACCAATCTGCAAATCTTCGTCACTCAACTCAGCATCAACAACAAATTCGATCGGATTTTCAATACAAACAGTGTGAAGTCGGTCAGTTCTTCTATACGGATCAGAAACTTGTCAGGTGGGTCACAAAGAATATTTCCAACAGCCTGTTGCAGATCAGACCTTTATCAACAAGTGTCTTCGCTGGCTCTATACTGGAGATCAGATGGCTGGGTCGGAAAGAGTCACCAACGAGAAACTATGGGAAGAAACAAAACAAGAACCAATCGCCAGCCAACAAATATGCAGTAGAAAATGGAGATGGATTGGACTCTCGCTGTGGAGGCCGGTTGGTGACATCGCGCGTCAGGCTATTGCTCGAGTGGAACCCAACGCAATGGGAAGCGGCGAGTGGGACGTCAGTGCAAGGGTGACATGGAGGAGATGGTGTGAAGAGGAGTTGGAATAGTATGTACTGAGATGGATGCAGGTGAAAAGTACAACAGAAGGAAGACAGAATCAAGTGGAGACGTGCAGTTGAATCCCTATGTTTCACGAGGAACCCGAAGGAACTATAACAATAATAACTAAAACTATTCACTGTTAAGTTTGTTTCCCTTTAATTCTGTGTCTTTTGGATAGATGAACAAATCAACAGACAAGAAAACCTTTTTATGCTCAAAAGATATAGTAGCCGAGAAGCAGAATATTAAAATTTAAGAAACATATTCTTATTTTGTGTAGTCAAGAACCCTGATTTACTAAGAATTGTCTACGTCTGACTGAAAAATCTTTAGGCTGCATGAAATTACAGCTTTCTTAAGAATGTTATTTTTGGCACAGTGTAAGTGTTTATCACTTTTACATTGGCTTAGAAAAGTCAAATTTTGTGATCTTATTATTCTTACTCAAGGCTAGATAATTTAGAATGCTTCACTCCTTAAAATTGGAAGTACTAATTTCAGTGATACAGAAAGATTAAAAGACTAAACAGTGTATGCATTTTTAGAAATGACAGCATACATCTCTTAATAAAAAGGCTTTAAGCTAGCTTCTTCTAATATTAGGAAAGTTTCATTCTAATGCTTCAGCGTCTGTCATGCAAATTCCTGTAGATGCCAACGTCGTACCACTTTAATGAAACTTGGTTTTAGGTCAAGAACACAATCATTTTAAAAGAAACTGAAATTAATCTTCGAATGAACATAAAAATAGGTACTGTGACTCTTAAAATGGCATAGAATGTTTCATTTATCGCAGTAGTTTTTTTTCACCGCAATGTATTTTAAAATTTCAACACATTCTTTGTACTTGTTTTGTGTACTACTTTTTACAAAGTTGAGTTTAAATAAAAACGATATTGAGGAGATTTCATAAATATTGGATAGGTCTCTTGAGTTCATTTTTGAAATAGTTTATGTTCCCCGGTGTCGTAGTACAGATTACCAAGACAAGTAATAAATAACGAAAAATCACAAAATTTGATTGAATGCATGAAATGAATGCTGTTTTGAATTCCATAATTCTCAGCTTCATTACCTTAAACAATCAGTAAAGTGTACATTCAGCGACTGACTTGTATAAGATACCGTTTCTGTTTTAACAGATGTCACATGAGTTGACCTTGAACAAACTACTTCATCAACACTCACATAACACATTCTGCTACATTTTCTTTGCATAATATTGCTCAAGCTCAAAGTTTTATAGAAATTAGACTCAATTTTCCACGTGACTTGCAATTATGTATTTCTAAGCTATCATCTGAATCATTCTGAATGATGTTCATTTAAAGCCGATATTCTAACAAACGTGTAGAACACATTTGCAGATATAATGGGTTTTCTAGTTGACAGCTGAAAACTAAAAACCTGAAAAATAGTTATCTAACACGTTCAGTATTTATTAGTTTGGCTTAATATAAAGTGACCTGACTAACTACTCATCTGGATTTCAGCTCATTGTGATGCTGTGTTTTCTAAATTAAATTTCGCTTTAATAGGTATTCTGAAATTCACTTGATTTTATTGCAGGTAGACACGAAATGAAATAAAAGGCAAAAGCAACAGAATGTAAACTCGAATCACAGCCATCACAGTTTCATGAAACGTGTGAGCAGGGCACAATGGTGAGAAATATCATTGGCCCACCGTAGTGTAAGAAATATTGATGAACTGGAAGGCGGCAAAACAGATGACGAACACTGCTGTAATAATTTAGTAGGATCTTACAAAACTGTTAAAATATGTTGTTTTCCTGTCCATGGTTATCTTGTATTGAAACAGTCTAAATCTTTAGTGGGAGATTTTGATTAATGTGAACGCTCATGTCAAGTGTAAGGACAGAACTTTTCTGGTACAAAATAAGAGAGTAACAATGGCGATGTGAGCCTTTTATAACCTAACTATCTTTACTCCCCCGTGTCACAAGATCTTAGATGAGCATTGCTTAATAGTACGGGACTTCAATACATTTAACTGTCTGTCTGACTTGTGTTCACCAGCAATAAAATTTACCGTAGATCCGTTTTGATCGGAACATAGACGAAATCTGAAAATTAAACCCGTAGGGTGATGAAATAACTTTTACTCAAACCTTGCAGGCATAACCAATACAAAAACACTAAATATCAGACTAAATGATGAATTAAGTATTCTGCGGCTGGGATTTACCCCCATTCTATGAATAGCTTTTCCGCACAACGAAAGTTCTAGATGTCATATAATTTTTTTAAAATTAGACACCGAATATTCTACGTAGGATTATCGAATATTTAATGAGAAGATGCTCTTGATCGTCTAGTATTCCTATTTTCAACCATTTTTTACCCCTAGACATATGACACGTCCTAAGAATTAATTTAGGTGACCTACTCAGTCTCCCACATGATACCGAAAGACATCGATGGGCTAACTAAATATGGTTTCACAAGATAAGTAATGTTGACGTTAGGCGTAGAGTGTTGGGCAAAGAGGGAAAATCAATCGACGAGGTTATAAAATTACATAGACTGAGATGGCTAGGTCACGTGCTGCGCATGCCTAACCACCGCCTCCCCCGACGGGCATTGTTAGCTGATATAGGTTCAGGTTGGAAAAGAGCCAGTGGTGGCCAAACAAAAACGTGGCATCAATCCATGAAATCCTTGACAGTTAAACTGAGTCAGGTAGGGAGATGCAGACTCCCGGGTTGGGGCCCTCGGGACTCTAGGAATCAATGGCTGGAGACTATAGGTGACATGGCTCAAAATCGTTGTCAATGGCGCAGATGTATTCAATCTCTGTAATCTTTCATATTCCTCTCTACCATTACCCATTCTGTTTCACTCTTATACTTGTCAAACTCTATTGATTCTCTTCACTCATCTTCTTGTCTACCTCTGTGTGCTATTTGGAACGTGGCAACTCGAACTGCTGCACTTCGGTGCCAAGTTCTATGTTGAATCCAGACAGACAGACAGTTTGTCACTTTAAACCTGACTTTCGAGTTTAAAAACATCCAGAAAAGTGATTTGGCTTTCTTTTTTGCATATACTCTTGTCGCCACCTTCTCTCACCCATCCTGTTTTGTGCTTTGGGCAGTTGCTTTTATACTCACCGTAAAATTCCTCCTTCACTTACTGCAAGAGCTCTTAAGGTTCAATAGTGCTCAAATGAGCCATTAGATATTCGATAGGCAAAACTTAAAAACACCATACAAGTGTATTAAACCAGACAACTATATCAAGTCATACGGAATTATTCCTTAATGTACCAATTCAGATTACTTCCCCCAGGTATCACTTTTAGAAAGTGATATACTACAGCTTTTCCTTTATGGGTAAAATTTATTTTACCCCTAATGGAATTATACTTTACCACAGTGCACGAGTGTTGTTTATACATTAATGATACTTCAGCTTTTTGCTGAACGACCGAAAATGTGGTAAAATGTTAAACGAAATCATTTCGATTTATAAACGTCATGGTATGAAATAAACTCCTGTAACTGCCTCGAAGACAAACATGATTATTGCTACACCAGTTACCCACAAAAACAAATTAATATAAACCCTGAACATCAGTAGAAAGTGAAAGAATTTCTACAACAGTGTTACCGTTCTTAATTCTTAAACTATATTCATGAAGAACCATAGGTAAGTGGACAGATATGGAGAAAATTTATTTCCCGAGGTACCAACTTTTACTTCATTTCATTCGCACAGTTACTACATTGAGAAAATTGTTTCAATGGCTGATTATTCAGTCAGTTTCTGGAATATGTTACAACATGCTTATCAACCACGGTTGAACAGAACTAAAATGACAGTTTATTAGTGAAATACAAATATTTTATTTACTAAAATTAAAATCAAAAAGTTCACACATGTTGGTGTTTACTAAACCAGATTCATTAACAACCCTTAGCTCCAAGAATTTCGAAATAACTGAATAATTTTGCAGACAATATACCAATTTTTGTAAGAAAGACTCATCAGTAAGCTGCACATGAAAGTCACTTCCATTACTAATGTGATATTTATTCAGTTACAAAAGCTGCCTGAATAACATTCAGACAGGAGAATAATTTTCGAAGTATAAAGTATGCTTCATCTTAAATCTTTCAGTAAATTAAAGGTATATATATATATTGTGTATTCAAAAGAAAGGAACGAGTGGGTGGGAACTCTAAATTTTAGTATAGCGGCATCATGATGTATATATATATATATAAGTTTGAAAATAGAAATTAAAATTCTTTTTGTAGTCGAAAGTAACAAGATATTGACAAAAGTAGAAAAGTAAATAGAAAATATAAATTTTCTTAAATCTTTCCCTTTAGCATAATACCAGTGTTTCACAGCATAACATAATTAAAGGGAAAGTTGTATAAATATAAAACGAAAATTGATATTGTCAGTTGGTTCGATTTTCGAATAGCATAATGTAGTTAATAAGTGTTAAAAAAGGTTGTAAAAATTAGATATGATTAATGTTAGGAAAAGCACAAAATGTACGAAATCTCTACTGGAAATAGGTAGCTAAATGTATAAAATATATATATGTTTATACTACTTTACTAAAACAGAAAATAACCAATGTAAATTATCATGACGTATGTACACATTGTACAGCCGAACAGCAAGAGATAATTTGATGGTAAGCGTTGTACCTCACACTTCTGGATCTACAGTCTCTATTGAAAATGGATTTACACGGTAGACCAGGCAATGATTTGAAAACCATTTCATAAAAGACAAACGTTTTGGTATCTTCTTGTCATCCAACCAAATGGCTAAAGAAAGAGCTGAAAAGTTTTTGAAACACTTAATATAATTTGGGAAAGTAGGTGGTATGGAAATACTTCATTTATAGTCATCTTATCTTCAGACTTAAAAATACTTTTTTATTTCATTCGGATGTATCCGGATAATTTTAATGCGACTGAGTTAAATTCACAAGGTTCTTGCTTAATCATTAGGGTTTAGAAAGACTTACCTTAGTCTCCACGAGCAAATGCATGGTGAATTTTCAATCGTCTATTATAATACCATATTTTAAGTTAACTGATGTCCGCATGAAAATATTTTTGAAATATTTACCTCACATATCATACCTTATGAAAGTTTATTGCAGACACAGTACTTGCTGAGGGTATCAACAGTTTTAATATCTCCCACAAAGCCATTTCTCATTCAAAATGACTTCATCATTTAATAATGAATCTCTCATAGAAACTCTTTGCTGAATATGTGAATATGTTGATGCACATAGTTCAGACGTAGGGTTGCAGACGTTCTATCCTAAACAACTTTTATTTATATGTACATTTAACCTTTAACTAAGCTTTTTCAGTAAGATATACTGAAAGAAGGGCTGTACTGTGATTGGATCACCACTGGGTCGACTGTTAGCTAATCTTTTTGTCAGGGCTTGAAAACACTCAGTCAGGTCAGACTATTGATTGCTTTGATATCTACAGGAGATATGTAAATCACACATCCGGTATTTTTGTTACGGATGTAGTACATTTTAATGTTATGCTCCAATTCAAAAGTTGTCATTTATCATTAGAATTGGGGGAATAATCTGAAATAGGTATTTTTTCTCAATGTGTTTCATTAAATCTTCATCTACGGAAAAATTACATCCAATTAACAGCTTACTAATTTCTGTAGTTTAGTACCTATTTCAAACAAAGAAAATCTCGTTGATTCCCACTGTTTTGTGATAATAGATGTGTGTAGCTCTGAGTTGGAGCGGAAGTTTCTTTCCTAAGTGCCTTACTTGCTGAAGGCATTTACTCAAACTGATTTACTGATAAGAATACAACAGACAAATATTTTAAATTGGTCACTAGCTGTGTTCTAAAAAAAATTTGTCTTCATGAATCTGGAATTCAGAGGTGACCATGTTTCAAATACCCTCGAATATCGCCTTTATAAACTAGTTTATAAAACGCTATCTTTGGCAGAATTTCAGCTGACGTTCACTATATGGAATGTGTTTTCCGTTTATTTGAAAGATGAGTTTCTTATTCCAGTAGTATTCATGTGTGTCTATCAGTTCACCAACTCTTGTGGAACGTGCTACATTAGGTGCAGCGATACGGTGGCTTCTGCATGAATGCAAGAGCATATCCCACCATGGTATCACAAAGAAGAAGGGAAGAGTGTGAGTAGCTCTATGATGTCCGTCATTCAGCCAAACCTGACAATTATTTTAAAACCATCACCTGAATTCATTCTAACTTCCCTCAGTTTATCCGTTTTAAACTTTTAATGATATCTGAGGCCTTGGTCATTTGTGACTTAAAGACAGATTTTTATGTACAAAAAAAGTGTATGCAGTCCCTACTTTTACCTTGGCCTAAGAACAGAAATGAGAAATGAAGCATTTACTCACTTATTTTTATATGTTGTCGTTGTTATAACTACTCTTTCTTTGAATAGTCTCCAGTCTCATTACACCATATATCACTTTTTTAATTCACATTTTTCACAATGTTAATATCTATCTCATGAAACTTTTCACCCTTCGATTCAGTTTTCCTGTTTGCCATCTAGTCCTGTTAACTTTATGGCCCTTTCGAAGATCTATACATTCTATAAATTGTGTTCTAAGTCACATAACGTTTTACTATTCTGAGACTGAAGTACGTTTATAACCACAAATATTTTACCGCAATTCACAATATCATTACTTTATCTGTTCACACCTTTTGTTTAAATCTCCGCACAGCATATATTTCCTTAAAATTATATATGCAGTCACACAGCTTGATAACATGTTAGTTAAAAAAATCCCTCTGCTGAACATTTTGTTCATAATATTGCAGTGAAAATTGCTGAATTATTGATTTTAAAGATGATTGAAATAATACTTCCTAACTTCATTTCAATTTCATCGCAGAAATGTCTTTATATCTTTGTAAATAAAAAGACATATGGGTTGTTAGGTGATCACCTTTTTGGGGACATCACTATAGCTAATCCTAGTTCATATACATTTATAAGCGTGAATTATGGTTATAGTGTAAAATGTGACTTACTGAGTAAACACACACAACCAGATACGCTGAAGAAAACTTCAGGAGTTGACTTCCAGAACAATGTTACCATCAGAGAAAGTATTGATCCAAATGCCTTGTTTATACAAAAAGAATTGAAAGAAATAATTAGTCATTTTTCCGTGAGTTTCATCACATATTTTAAACAAAATTTCAGTATAAACACCCTTTAAGGCATTGATTTTAGTTAGCTGCTTGTTGTTTCTTAGTCACTCATCATTCAGTGAAGATTTTTTAAAATTATATTCTTATTTCAGAGCTGATTTTATAATATAATACTAACGCGTAACCATAAATTACAACACAGATTGAGATTAATATTCTTCATAATCAGCGGGTTTTTTTGGAGACAAAATTGTCTCTAAACTATTAGTATAGTTGCTTAAGATGCTTCACATTTCAGCATATATCATAAGATTTTTCAGATAACTGTATGAAATACATAAATAATTTTTATTAATAAATCAAAGTCACATTTGTTGTCTAATACTGTCAGACAGAAGAAATTTAGTACTAAAGGTAAATGAATTCCCCAAATATATATATATATATAAATTCTTCAACATAATACTCTATTGTTAATAAAAAAGGGGAATATTTGTGAAGCTTTCCAACTGGTTAGACTATATCCTCATTCATACAGGAATTTAAATGAATCAAAAATTTCATAAATGTATATAAATTGATTCCGAATGGCACGTTGAGTATAAAATTTTTTTCACTCTTTACCACTCATCAGTTAGAAATAAATATTGTGATTATTAGATTATTCATATTATTTCTACTATCCTCTTTAATAGTTCACTTGGCTATATCAACTTGACATTAAATACTATTAAATAAAATATATCTCATGTTTAGTTTATTAAATGGCGAAATGATAAAGTACTGGAGTATGACTTACAAAACCAAGATAAACCATTCCATAGTTGACAGCTAAATGTGCTGGACCAAATATAGCTCCCGTTGCAGCAGGCATCATTGAAAATACACCGGACAAAAAGAAGAATAAGGAACATGCCCAAATGCTGAACATTACTTTTAGCAGGACTCCAGAGGTGTATGACATGAGTGGAAAAGTGAACAAGAACACTCCCCAGATAGACAGTTGAATGCAAATAGGTATCTAAAATGTACAACATAAGAAGTGGGACAATTTTGACAGTAAAACAAAATGCAGTAACAAGAATATTCTTGTACTGATAATTCGTACATATATTTAATGGCAGTTACAAATTCATCTTCGCACGTGAGCGAACAGCTTCATAAAATTAAGAGATATAAGATTATTTATCATACTCATGAGAGCATCAACAACTCCATTGAGAATTCTGAAGATAATAAACAGTAAAAGAGTAACAGTAAAATGAGACCACAGCGATGACTCATGCTCACAGAATAAAAAGAATAATTGTTTTCTATCTCTGGAAACTCTTTCATTTTAAGTCAATATCAAAAACTACTCTGTAAAACACAAACTTCGAGACTTGAAGAGATCTATGAAAATCGAATTTTGAAGTTATTCAGCTACAAGTGATGTGGTTATGACCGACAAAGTATGCTTGAAACGTCATCCAGTAAATAACACTGTTTCACTATGTGACATTCCCAAAAAATAAATTAGTGATTTCATCATGGCAACAAAAATGCAGGACGAAATACTTATCTTAAGTGGTAATATCCTGTTTATTTTTTTTACTTCAGTCAACAACTACTTTTTATCTATTAAGCACCAAGCGATGACTTGTTGATTGCCTTAATGATTCCAGCTAACTATAATCTATCCAGCATAAAATCACGAGTTGCGGGAAACTTTCAAGGGGGAATTCCTTCGTCCCTTAACATTCTATTGGTTACTTTGAAACAACGATAAACACTTCAACATTAGAGATACTGTTATGATTATAAATTAAATATTAAATATTCTCATAATTGTAAATATAGATGTAGAATGACTGATATATAATTTGAGAATTTCTGAAGAATTTTATCAATAAACAGCCAGTACTGAGTTAATATAGTGAAGTCCATATAGTGATCAGCAAGAATTTTGCAGACAGAAATAGACACATTTATCTCATTCATAAGTATAAGTGACAATTTCGATAACACAAAATGACTGTTCACATTAGTTGTATCAAAACTTACCTTGAATGAAAAACGATCTACTATTGCACCCCAAGCAACACGACCACCACAATTGAAAAGTGAAGTGACTGCCGCAATAGACGACAAAAATCTGTCATCCGTAATATGGGTTTGTCCAAATATCTATATTAACAAAAATGTGAAACAAATGACTTTTATTTAACTCAATTTTACATTTTCCCATCGATTGATTGGACTGAAATGCTTGGTGTCAGGTCGACATGTCGGCTTCTTGTGCAGATGCTTCAACGATGTCTGGCCATGTGGCCATAAGTTAATTGGTGGATAGTGACTAGCAGTGGAATCCAGGATTAGCACTGGGTTCGAACTTCGGCGGGAACACCATCTATCACTGCGCAGTGCAGGTACATCCAGTGACGAGTCCTAAATAGGACGAAATGAGCATCCTGAATTCCGCTGCTAGTCACCATCCACCAATTAAATGACCTTTATGTTAAAGTTTTTTTAATAATTTTGAAAAAATAATTTAAGTTATTACACTCGGTTAAAAGATTAATATAAACTACTTCATCAAATTAACGGTGTGACAGCTCTTTCAAACGCTATTTAGGTGGGAAGAAAGGTTTTAAAAACTCACTTTGGAAGAACTTCACAAATTATTAGCACGAAAATACTCAGTACACTTTAAAATGAGTAAACCAACGATAATCATATGGCTGTTCACTGTTTAGATTACTTTGGTAAATGTCTGTCAAAAAACAGCCAGTAATACTGTTTGCCCAGGATGCATTGTATAATGATAAGGAAAATAAAATTCTCTAATTTTCCCTTATGAAAAAACAGTGATAAGCGCGATTTTTTGAAGCATATCATCCAGATGACTTAATGTGTGGACAAATTCCCTTCGGTATAAACACATTGCTGACTACTCTAAAAGCGTTTCCTTCATATTATTTCTATCAATGACTTTCTGATGTTACATATATTTTACCATAAAGACCTCAGAAACCCCTCCTTAATCTGAAGCTACTGATGCTCAGAGAATGGTACATATATCTTAACCCGAAATGATACTTCATCGACTAAGCGTAAACAAAGTTATGAGCAAGGAAAAGACTTATATACGTACGAAAACAAAGAATTTATCTGTTGTCCTGATAACTGTTTACATTAGTTTATTTAGAGCTGTCGGACTATCACTCGTGTTTATTCGATTTTAGAATTCTTCACATGTTTAGCATTCAAAGTGCCATTAAAAGCATCCTCAACTTCTGACCGTACACAACAACCCTGTGTAGATCTTTAAAGTATTTAAAAGAGCTATTGATAACAATTGGAGTACATGCATTTTCTCTTGTAATCGTTATAATAATTTAAATACCTCATAAATATATTAAGTTACATATTTTATCTTGAGTCTTCTGTTTCTCTTAGTCATCTGTGATTCAAATAAATGATGACATTTAAAAAGGTTTGCTTGAAAGTGTTTTGCAGACCAATTAACTCACCAGTTTATATGGTAATTTTCAGACCTTATACCTATTTTTTTATTTCACTTCTTTAATTTAATGAAGACTTGTCATGACTTTTTTATTTTATGCTTTTATTTTTTTCTTAGTCATCAGTATTATACTAATATGCACTGGGAAAGTGTACATGCGCATGTAGACAATTTATGTGCATGAAATATTAACACAAGCTATAACTAATAGAAGGACTAATTTCAAACCACTTTCTTTGACCGCGTGGAAGTTTAAAATATAAGCAATTCACCTAGAATACGACGATACTATCTTCACTGAAAGACAGATTTTCAAACATTTATCTCCAATCAGAATTAATAATAGGTACATTTTTAAAATAAGAAGGCTACAGCTTAAATACTTCAATACTTCGAGTGATACCAATATACATTTTGTTTTGCTATGTTACTTATAATTATTAAAGGCGATTACTAAATACAAATTTTTTAACAACTACTCACTTTCAAGGAGCTTGTAAGAACTGACGTTGGAAAACAATTCAAGAACATCATTGTAAATAAAAGATAATAGTCAATATGACGGAACATCTTTTTCGTTGATACGTCTACTTCTGCAGGGTGAGCCTAAAAAGTAACATTACAAATTTGAAGTATAAAAACGTATTAAGCATAGATTTTTAGAAATGCTGATTCAAACATAGTTTAAGTAGCAAATAATAAAAAGGGAGAAATTGAAGTACTGCAAAGAAATCGAGTAACTACATCTAAAATATAGAGTTAAAGGTTAAAAGTATGAGCTTAATACATTATTCAACAAAATAACTTATTTCCTCGTTACACATAAAGGCTAGAAGTATCTTTTAGTAAAAGACCAAATTTGAATGGTCTTTTGAAAATTTCACACAAGAAATGTTCGTTTCAACACCGTAATCAACATGACAAAATCAAAGTCATGAAATTCAAAGATGTAACTGTGACTACTTACGTAGATCTTTTCCAAACTTCCACAGTGCCATAAGTTCATGTGTCCACCAAAAAGTAACTAAAATACTCATCGGACTATCCCACCCGTCGAGATTACAGAAGAAATAGGAAATCTACAATCATTTGATTATTACACTAACTCGTATGAATAAGCATAATACTGTATGCGGAAGACACCAGTGATTGCAAACTTCAGTCGACACAGAACCATAACTCCTGAATTATCAAATATTTGTACAGGCTTTTGTTTTTCAGGGAACAGTTTAAAATTGAGAGCCGATAAATATAATTTTACTGCATTAAATAATTTTTGGCTGCTAGTTCTCTGTGCAAACGTACACCCATGCTCATGATTTTCATCTTGTTCTTTCAGTCATTATAGGCATATATATACTTGCGTCAGTGACTTAGTGGTAGAACACTGGCCAATCGGGCAAGTGGTCATGGGTTCGACCACTGGTTGATGCATACCTTTACACAGGTTAGCAAGTAATAATCCCCGTAAAGAGGAAAGGTTGGGCATGAGGTTGGCAATCCCCGTCCATAAACACTGCTGCTACTGAGACTTTGAAGCTCCAACCTGAAGCCAAATGTTCCACAAGGAACGAAAATGAATAAATATATGTTTACGTACATGTTCAGTTTAAGTAGAAAATTTATAGCACACTAACAGTTCTGATATAATATAAGAAATTGTAAAGAAACCTATTTAATCTGCCTGAGGTTTGTAGATTTTAAAACTTCATTTACCTGTTGACTATCAGAAACCAGCTTCTTTGTTTTAGGATCTGTAGATACATCATGAACTCCGTCATGTTCTTCTTCCTAAAAAGAAGAATTTACTTCAGAGATGAATATTATGACGGTCAATAGGAAACCAAACCTAAGTTTGGTTTTTTGAAAGTTCTATGCCGTGCACACTTATGAGTGCTTTCATGATAAATAAATTTCAGATAGAAAAGTGCTATACCAGTGTATATAACTTTTCGGGAACATTCATTTGACTGAAACTCATCCTAATATCATACTAAGGTTTATTTATCTTGAGTAAATCTATCATTGCATTTCTCCTCAGAAGCAAAAATCTCAAAGAAGATCACACTGATTGCATGTTATAAGGACTAACTGCAAAGCACTTTCGTCACGTAGTATTCTCACGACAACTTATGTGTACTTCTTTTAATAAATTTTCACATTGAATATTCTAAGACAACTTGTCTTATCCAGAATTTTAAGCAACTTGTTTAGAAATAAAGATCCTATTTCATGAAGGATTTCATCATGAGCTGACATCAGTTTGAGAAACACTGGAAAACCTGGGAGTACTGGAGAGCTGTTTCGTCCTAGTTTGGGACTGTCTTGAAGAGTTCCAAACTTATGATGAAATTCTCCATGCAGTCAAACAAAATCCCTACAAAACCAATACTTGAAAGATCCTATTTGTTCAGATCTGTCACACACACTACTTGCGACTTAAATATTAAAGCATGCAAAGTCAATTTAAAAAAGGTCCAGAGTAACGAGCCCTATACTCCTGGAGAAAAGTAAAAAAGTCATCTGAAGTATTTAAAATTTAATTTATCTTGATACCACAAAACCTTACTTCTTTCGGCTTTGGCTTCATACGAATTAGGATACACCCTGCTAACTGCAACGCTGCTAATATTGAACCCAACACCAAGAAGGCATATGGAATTCTGTCCAGAAGTTCATCATCAGAAAAACGCCTGATAAAAAGAAAATGACAAGCTTACTGAATCAACAGGATGTTCACACCACCGAAGAGAAACTGTGGTAAAAATTCACGAAAATATAGATGATTACTGACATAACGGTGTCATTTATGGTATTAGGGAAAGTTCACCACCTACAGTTTAGTCATTCTTCAACACAACCTCTTACACACACTTGATGATACACACATTTCTTAAAAAGGGTGAACGTAATGTGAAGAACACAGTTGGAACTATTTCATATCTGCCTGCTGCTAGGTAAGAGACTCAGAATTTTGTTTTTGCCAGTTACACAGACTTTAAACAGACTGCTTAAATTCCAGCATTAATTTGGTCAAATGTATCATAACAATCCTTCTGTGCATGAAATTAAATATCCTTTCTGTTAGAAAATAAATATATCCACAAGGTAACTGACGCCTGAAATATTGTGCAACTGATGACAGAGGCCTTACAAAGATTCTGACTTCCTCGCAATAATGAATTTATAGGATGAAAGCGAAATACAGTTACACCTGTTCAGCTTTCGGTATCACTAAGGAGCTCGGTCATTGTTCAGGTCATTGTGTATCTAGGTGACAGACGAATTATTTTCCTAATATTGAGGGCATCTGTCGACAAGCACTCTAACTTGGATGTCAAAAATTAGAAGAATCTTCTGCTAACATGCCAGTTCATTTCTTCTGGAAGACAACAGTAATAAATGACAGGGAAGTTCATATGCCAAACAAAAATGTGTGACAAATTCAATAGAAATCAAGGACACCATGTCATTGTAATCTAATAAGCATTATTTATTCGTGAAATCACTGTTGCAAGATTGTTACACAAGCATCATATAAAGATTCCGGCCAAGATTAAGTTTTATTGATTAAAACGAGTGAGCAAAATAGGTAAATATTTTCAGAAAACGTCTAAAACTGCCCAACCACCCTATCTAGTTTTGTTCCTTTCAACCAAGCCCAAAATAGATGACTTCAGATACTGACACTTTACGCCGATGGAACATTAAACTTGGTTTCTGCACCTTAGGTTTATGAGATGTTAAAAGTTTTAGTGCTTCTAGATATTAATGAAAGTCCTTCACAGTAATACATATGCGGTTATAATTTCGAACTGAAATCCTGAATCAATTCACCAGTCTAAGTCCGACAAACTTTCCCTCACCTACACTCATTTTCATCTATTACAATAGTATTTAATTCTTGTTTGCCCGCTAAAATTGTATAACGGTGCAAGGTTTAAGCTTTATTCATAATTTGGTATTGTAGCAAAAGCTCCCTCAGATGCGCTGGTAAAATGTGAGGCCTGTGGTAGAGAAAAATAACCTACTAAATAAAATGTCTTCAAATTTAAGACCAACATTGAAGACGCATTATATCCTTGTTGATGTCTGTCTGTCTGTTTTCGACATAGATTTTTGCACAAATGTGCGGAAGTTCAAGTCGCCACACTCCGTGTAGCACGCGAAGCAAGAGAAGAAAGTACAAGAAAAGCGTAATAGAGACAGTAAGCAGAGGTGTGAGACAAAGGAAGAGTAATAACGAAGAACAAAACAGTTTCATTGGAGATCATAGGTCACAAGGAGTGGATGCATCTGCGCCACTGAGAACGATTTTGAGCCATGTCACCAATTGTTTCCAACCATAGATTTTTACCGTCCCGAGGACCCCAGCCTGGAAGTCTACACCTTCCTACGTGGCTTAGACCAACTGTTGTGGATTTCATTGACTGGTGCCAAGTTTTTGTTTGACCGCCACTAGCTTTTTTCCAGCCTGATCCTATATCCGCTAACATTGCTCGTTGAGGGAGACGATGACTAGGCATACGTAACACATGTCCTAACCATCTCAGTCTTTGTAACTTCACGACTTCGTTGATTGATTTCCCCTGTTTACCTAGAACTCGACGCCTAACCCCAATGTTGTTCACTTTATTATACCACTTCACACGGGAGATAGAACGCAGGCACCTATGATCAAAGACAGCTAGTCTTTTCATGTCTTCCACTCTCAGTGGCCAGGTCTCCCTCTCAACCACAAAGGAGGACGGAGCGGACTGATGAGCAGTACATCCGCCCTTTGGTCGATAGTCGAACATCTCGTCTACGCCAGAGTCGGCGTAAACTGTCAAATGCGAAACGAGCCCCCTGTATTCGTGCTGAGATTTCGTCAGAGATCAACCCGTTGGCACTGGCTGATGGTAATTCCCAAATAAGTGAAGCGGTCAACGTGCTCTACCACTTCACTCCCTATTTCTAATCCAGGAGTCAGTGTAGTCCAGTCCTGTAACATCATCTTGCATTTGGCGGGAGCGAATCGCATGCCAAACATTCGTAGATTTTGGCTCCTTGTTGATACTCAACAAATGGTTCACAAGTTAAATCAACAGACATACCTCAAGTTGCGTAACTTTGTATTATTGTACATAAAGTGCAAAGATTCCACTAAATCAAAATACTGTGAACATTCATTCCTTTTGGATTTCTTTTTTATCAAAACATTAACATTTTCCAATAATACCGCTTATTGCACCACAGAAACACCTATGGAAGCACTTTCGTTTTTACAAACGTGGTAAATATCATATGCGACAAACTAAAAAATTAGTAAGAAATGAAGAACGAAGGATTAAACAGCCCGTAGGTTTTTCTGAAGATGCAGAAAAATCTGAACACATCAATGGGACATACAGTGTACGTAGACAGTTTAAGATATTTGGATGTGGTTGTGTTCTCTGAGCCGGCTAGTTAATTTGCGAAGCTTTCAGAGAACATAACCATATAAAAATCATCCACTTGAGCTACAAATCTTCTCCATCATGTCTATTAAATATACGTTGAATACAACTTTTTCTCACTATTTAATAAAAATCACTGAACCAAAAGATGACTTTTCAGGATATAAAAATTAATAGTAAGTTCATAAACATGTAGTCTTTACAGTGATTTGACATAGAGCATTAAAAATTGAACAGGACCATAAGTGCAGCACATTTTTCAAATTTTCGGATACTTCTACTTCAGCATAGTAGAGAGCAACTTACCGTGTTGTCTGATTTACATTTATGTTGTGCGGGTTAATGTACGCAGTTTGAATTGGAGTAAATACTAAAGATCCCAAACCAAATCCACCAACAATTATTCCAACGACTAATCCTCTTCTATCTGGAAACCACTGAAACAAGACATAAAATTGATGTGACTTTTATGTTATGGACACAGCTACCGTTCAAGAAAAAAACAAACAACGAAAACATTTGATTAAAGGTCTTAAAATTCATCGTGGCTCGTGATGAAAACAGTTAAAAATCTGGCAGAATTGTGCGGAAGACAAAGTCCGATATACGTATTTTTGGCAAAAAGCAAACTTAGAAGTGCCATCTTAATATTTGTGGTAGAGAAAAGTGTTTTCATTCTAATATTCAGACGTCACTTTTAGGGTTTTAAGCTAACAAATAATAATCAAAACACACTCCAGATGAAAAGTGGAATGAGAATGAATGAGATCATATTCACAGGAGCCCCAAAGTAACAAATGTTTTAGTTTGTAGTCAATGCCATTTTCATTACCTAATCAGTGAATATAGCAGGTTTTTACGCAGGCTACCAATACCTCATTTTGCGGTTTTGTCAATAAACACCACATAACCATTCAACGTTAAGGTTAGATAACACGACATTTTCAAACATTGTTACTTATAAAAGCAACTGAAACGATCAAACATTTCAAACTTACAGATACAGCGCAAGCAATCGCAACTGAGTAACCAATTCCCATTGCCAGTCCAAATATAATTCCAACTGTAAAAACTACTCCGATAAACGTTTTCTGTATGGTAACGTAAGTCAATAAAATGCTCCCACTGAAAAAGAATATGGAAGGTGTTATCGCTTGTTTATGATACATAGTTATTTAATAATAAATGCATTTGCAATAACTTCGAGCGTTCTGCATATTTCAGCGTTTAGGTCGCTAGAGCCGTGCATAGTAATATCAAAAATGGGGAAACAAGGGCATGTTGCATTTCGCATTTGTTGATGCAGACCTTAACGTGAACATCATAGCAGTTTTGAATGCGATTTCATAAATGTAGCTATGACTTTAATAGTATTTATCTTACGACTGCAGGGTCTATAAAAGTTTTCACCTACAATATTTGCGAAACCAATGAAATTCCAAAGTCTTCCATTACTTATACATAATTGTTGTGTTTTGCTAACAATTCAGGGTGAAGACATTTAACAGTTCTTCACGTTACGTGAAAATACCAAAAACAATAACTGAAGGGAGAAACAGATGGAAATGACTTGCGAAGTCACTAATTCTGACTTATTAATATTAGGAGAATGATTTAGGTGCAGTGTTAAAACAACAAGATTATTTTCTAAAATCCAACTTAAAACAGTTCTTGAAATAAAACAAAAGCAAAATTTTATACAGAATGGGATGATGGTTTCTCTCCCTCTGTGTGTAACCTAAATGTTATTTACCTATATTTGCAGAGGAACTAACATATTTGCAAGGTTTGCACGATCTTTGGTTAAAAGAGGCAGAAAATTGACAAACAATGCCCAGAAGTTACACTTGGATAATTCGTGCAGAGAGCTCAAAGTTTAAACAAAATATAGATTTACAAAATTAATGGTTTGATAAAAAAATTAAGTTGCACAATCAAGACAAGTGGTGAGAATTTGATAATAAGTAACCAACCAGTTGTACGATAATGTGGTGAGTGAAAGTAAAGTCACAGAAACAAAAAGGAACACACTGAATTACGGCGAAACAAAAATAATGGAGGGATAGAGAAAAATATTATGTAACCGGGTGGGGGAAACACATTAGACTCTGAGTTACCAGGGCAAAGAAGGACTAAAAAGTTCATCGTTGAGGAGACATAAGTCAGGTTTTGATAATAATTGCTTTGGCAAACTTAAGGAGAGTTCAGTTAAACTTACCTTACATTATATTGAAGGATTTCCTCTACATGACCCGTATCAATAACATAACTCAAAATATTTGTTCGCTTGAGAAGCAACCTTTGTGGTAAATGTTTAGAGAATCTAAGACATTCCCTTCTTTCCGTTCTTCCAATATAAATACTACTGCAGATATATATTAATTTTTGTACACAATTATGTCTAACATAGAAAAATTATCTATCGCTTTTTGATTGAATACACTGTTCGATTAACGAGTACCAACTTGCTTGTAGGACTTGTTCTGAATAGAGATGTGTTCAATATTCTGCTGATCATTCCTGCAGTAGTATTGGCTTTAAAATCAAGTTTAATTAAAACAGAAACTTTATTAAGCGAAATTTATTTTACATCTAGGTTTCCAGGTCTTCTGTACTGTCGATAAATTTTGAAGGCGATAAGTGTATAAGACAGTCCACATAATTATTTTACTTATTAACAGTATTCACAATTAAAAGATATCATTATTATTCAGTAGGGTTTAATAAGGCTTAGCATTTAATAAACGTCTGCTTTGAACAGGTTTTTGTAGATTTCCACATGACTGCGCAATCGGAACTGTCTCTAATCAGACCAAGCTAACTAATACGTGTGAAGATCATGAAATTTATGCATCCGACTAAAATTATGTGGTAAAAAAGTTCGATATTGGTTAAATTAATTAAAATAAGATGAGTAACTCGTGCAAATACAATAATTTACCTGCCAGTAAGCAAAGTTAAAATCATAACCGCTGTAGGTCCGAATTTTACTGCTAGCAGGCCACCAATAGGCATTCCAATACCCTGACATCCAAGGCCAAGTGCAGATAACCACACAGCTTCACGATCAGTAATACTGCTATCAACCCTCGCATATATGTATGATATAATATATGTAGCCATATTTGCTTATGAATGATGAATAACTTGTGAATGCAGAAACCTACATATGGTGTAGAAGTGTCCCAGACTAAAATGGACCATGAACGCCCCAGCAACAACAGATAATCCACGAATCAGATCTTTACGCTTCTGGTTCTAAAAAGATATGAATAAAAAAAAGACCTTGCAACTCACCATCTTTACCACTGTATCTCATCAAATATTTAAGAAAACGTTGTGCATCAAACATAGATAAGTTAGCACAGTAAAACAAATATATTGTACAATTTATTGATAGAACAATTTAAGACGAAATTGATTATTATTAGCAAATAATCCTACAAACACAATTTTCGCCTGTTAACCGATGCTCAATATTATTCTGGAAGTTCCACTAACTAAAAAATCTGATCAAAACATCCCTGTAGGCCTCTAAATTTACAGCCCTAGAAACAATAGTTCTATAGTTTACTTTGAATTAGAATTGTCCTTAAATCTATAATAACACCTCAAAAAACAATATATTGTGGCCTTATATTAGAAGTGAACTCATTCAGCTCAAGCTACAAATCTTCTCCATTAGGAACTACCATAACTGCCATCCTACTTCTGGTCGTGTAACTTTATGAAGTCTCTATATATACATATAAATATGTTTATAATTTGGTGTTATTGTTGCCAGGTTTGAAATGCCGACTCAAGGCAGTAAAAATTTCTCTACTTAAAAGTCTGTCTTCTTCCCTTCTTTTGTCACATGTCAATGGTATCGTTTTGTGGTAGTTGTAGTTACAAATAATTATTATTAGAACCACGCGCGGATTCCTCCAGATAAGTAATTGTCAGCTATTACCTACTTAGATCTATGTATTTAGAGATGAACAAATTCAGGGAAGAGGGTAATTTTACTAAATTTTATCAAATTCTCGATAGTCCATGATTTACCACACCGACACACTGTTTAACCAGTTGGAGGAGCATTTGAGCCACATGGCACTTGACTTTTTATAGATCAGTGCCAGGAATCGCTTGTCCTAGGGTTTGAAAGCCAAAAATGTGACCACCGCCCCCAGCTGGGATCACGCCTATGCCCTAATTCTTCATCCGCCGAATAGCGACACTGTGATAACTCCGTTCTAAGGTATTCACCAGTATCTGTAGGCAGACTCAACGTTCAGAAGCTTACCAATAGAGACACATCCTCGAGTATTTGTTTCGAACTAGTCCCGGCAAGTCCTAATGGATTCGATTTGGAATGTAATGAACACTATATAACTCACCCTGAATACCTTCTTACTTTCAAATTATTCCGTCTGTGACACTTATAAAACAGGAAGTAGTTGAATTGGGAGCAGCGTTGTAGTGTGCGAATCGACGAGGGGAAGCCTAGTCAAGCACATTGGAGTTTATATATATAATATATAATAATAATATATAAATTAAAGCTCAACACAGAATTAAGAAAACGTAATCAGTGCTTAGTTATTGTTGTTTTGTTTTCCTGAATTTAATTTGATTAAATTCCTGACTTAGGTAACCTTTTATTTGAATCACATAATCACAGTTTTGGAAGCGCTGCATTCATACGGTTCTTCGCGACGTTAAACCCAATTCATGTGGATTGAAAGACATGGTTGTCAATGCAGCTGAAGATTGAACGATCAATTCATGGTTGTTTGCTCAAACCCAACCCCTCCATATTTTTCGCGGGAGTCATCAATCCAGCAGTCATCGTCGCTGTTAGTTGGAAGACAGAGAAAAAACTACCAGAGGTATTATCATAATTTATTGTTGTAACATTTATTCTTAGACCTTGTGCGTAGTAACCTTATTGTTGGTTACATATTGGCGTAATAATAAAGGATTCTCGAGTCGCCAATCAATGCTCTGGTTTTCCGCGTTAGTTATTACAAATTGTTTCTGAAAGTCTTCGAGGGACAGCGTGAGGTCCAGCGTAGTAAGAGCTGGACATTGACAGTTTCTGAGAGTTGGCTGACGAAGAGTGGTCATCATGATTTTTAAGACACAAGAGCTCGGTAGCTTCGTTGTGGTGTAATCATCTTCCTGTGCATTCTCTCAGAATCGTCGTCAATAAATAAATCTTTTAGCAGCCATAACTGCTTTATTCTCCTGTCGCTGGCCGACGCAGTTACAAGATCACCCTACTCACCTGGTGAGCAGGCATATCAGTTAGTAGGTAGAGTGGCTAGAAACGAGTTCCAGAAGGATCGATAGCTGCACATCAACAGTGAGCGTTATTGCTCACAGTCATTCAGGAAAACCAATGACTTAGTTTCCTAGACCTTGACTATTCGACTGTATCTCTCTCCTAGTTCAAATCTATGGTCAACGTTAAGACGTGATAGATAAGAAACTCAAACAGGATATGTGACTGTAAAACACCGCAGAGGGAAATGTTAGGTATTGGAGACCGTGACAACAAATCTCGTATAAACTCAACATAACTGTTAGGCCGTGTGCCACCCACTGTAAACAAGATAGGAAATATCTGAAAAAAACCGAGGGGTACTGGTGAAACAGTAAGATTCTTGGGAAACCAGTTGGTTACCGTGTTTGAAAGACCCAAAAACTCGTTGCTGTTTGGCTTGAACTAGAAACAGCGCCTAGGACTGTTGCGGTAACATGTATTCCGCTACACCTGATCTCTTGCCACGCTACTAGAATACCCCTTATACTGATCCACCTACATTAGTCGCCAAAGTGCCTTCAACATCGTTCATTGATGTATTTATTACCAATGGAATTATGGGAGTGTAGAGATACACTGTCAGCACATGGAGGGGGCAGTACTCTTGTTCGTTTGAAAGCCCCATAGTCTGCAGTCGGATCCAATCATCACAGACATAGAAATTGAACGCTAAGCGCAAAATGGGATTCAGTTAAATTGATCAGCCTATTCGACAACTCACAGATACTCAACAACTTACGTTGTGAACAAAAAATTAATTTATTGGATTTGAGGCTGACAAATAAGATAACAGAAATAGTACTTTGTTGAAACATCTATAACACCAGGACTAGGGATTTAAAGGTAGTGCTGCACTTCAATCTCCTTTAGTAACAAATAAACTTGACAACCAAATACTCACTGTCTGAATAAATTCTGAGCTGCGCCTAAAAAGTGGCCCCAGCATCGAGGGCTTAGTTAGTCTGTCTGGTGGCAGAGAGCAACAACATCTTGTAGGCATACATGGTGTTGTGGGTGATTTTACGAGTTTTAGTGCTCTCCCACCCTTTCACAAGATACTTGCATGGGGACCAGGGATTTTAATCGCCAGGACTACGACATTTATAGAAGAACCACACTGCCCATCATTTATTCTATAATATATGTTTATGTGCGAACGACTACAAACTGCATCACGAAAATCAAGATCTCTAGAGTTTTAGAGGCTCCAGCATTCATTTGCATAATGACATCAAGAATAGTGAGAGTAGATTCATTTTGAGCCATTTTCCAGATGCTGATTTAAGATGGGCTATGTATATCAGGTGAAACCATTGACCTCCAGAAAAAAGAATATATCCTAGGATATTCCACTCATATATCATAGTACAATCTGAATCACAGTGTAGTTCTGTAGGAATTTGGCCTCCCGAAATCCACTTTTAAGATAGTTCTAATCCACAGTTTTTTGAGACACTACTTCCAGTCACCGGTACCTATGAATGAGTAAAATAGCCACCCACGCGGGGATAAAATGTTTAGGACGAGGTTCTGTCACTGTCGAACCCTTGGTTTTGCTTGTGTTTTGTCACAAATTTCAGTAATGACCATACCAACTAGACATAAACATGAAATTCAGAACACCAAATATTGTGGCTATGAATATTGTAACTAGAAAACGGTGTAAAAATTCACCTGATTAGATGGCTAATTTGAGTCTGCACTAATGCTATTCTCCAGGAAGGATATGTGGTACCTGAACATTTTATCTCCTGTGAAGATGGAAGAGACAGTACAACCATGAGTGGATTCCAAGTTCACTGGTCGGGATTTTACTAGTATAAAGTAGATGCATCACTCCACGGAGGATGGAAGATATCAACCAAAGGAGCAAAAATTGGAATTTAGTAATAAGGAAGCAATGATTTTACTAAAATGATATCGGTCGTGTTCAAATAGAATGGTATCTATGGATAAGTAACCAGAACCCGTGGAAACTTTATCAAGAATTTCTTGAGCTAGACATTTTTAGCAAGCTTTCAAAGTGTTTAAAATAGTGAAAGCTGAACTCATACGAGATACCATCGATATTCGTTTCACTTTCAAAGTGCAACCTATTTTATCTAAAATATTTTTAGAACAGCTTTATTTATTTATTTTCAAATGAAATAATACTTAGTTCAACCTACGAAAAAGTTTCTTTATGTCGATTGTTTTTATTTGTCGCGCTCCCTGAAATTTTACCGAGGCTTTTTAAATCTCATAGGTGATACCACGGTTTAAGATGGTAACTTCAGTTAATCCTGTTTTGATTGTATTTATTTGTAGGACGAAAGAAAAAAGAACTTATATCAAGGCCTGCTCACAGTTTTGGGAAGTTTTTTGCTTCATTTAAGTTTAGGTCACTTTTATACTGTGTGTAAGTATATTTAATCACGTACTACAGTACCGTCTTTAGCAAACATGGCTCCTTATATATTATCGTACATAGCCGCAAAAGTGGACAAAACTATTACTGTGGAGAAAGCTGTCTGGTTATCAGCACTGGGTCTTGGATTTCAAGGTATAGCCATGCCGCTTGGAGGAGTGCTGAGCAAGAAGTTTGGACCTCGGGCAGCCATGATGGCCACAGTATTATTTGCTGGGTATGCCTCCTAGACTCCTAAAATATTTTCATCTTGACGAGATTAAAAATAATTTTCTACTTGGATCCTGATTTTTGAGCCACTTGTTTGTTGTAAATAAAATGGGGCTAACAAATATAAATGTCAAACCAAATATGTATGTGTAAATATTTAAGTAAAGGGTTCAATTTTGTTAGGTTTCTAATAACTGAGTAACTGATGATAAAAATCAGCATAAATAAAGTAGAATCCTCTTCAGATGCCTTTTATATAAATAATTAATCGAATTTTCGGAAGAAACAGCTGTGCGAAGTAAAAATTCGTGCGTTACGTACCAGACTTAACATGATATACAAATATTATCTGACCTAAAGAATTTTTTTAAAATTACTAGGAAATTTATTTTGATATTTATTTTCAGTTCTAACATTTATTTTTCCTTTATATTTGTCATCTGTGCGTCGGTGGCACAGTGGTTAGGACTCTCGCCGACCATGCACATAGTCCGAGGTTCGAGCCCACGCCGATGCACACCTGATATCTATGGTCGGCCAGAAAAATTTGGGCTACCGATATTCATGCTGAAAATTCCATACTTGTACCAAAAATACAGTGTGGAATCAAGCTGTAATAAAAAAAGTAAGTACAGGCGTACTCTAGAACTCCAATTTGAAAAATAGTGCCTCACTGTCTATGTATCCGATTCCACCATTTCGGCAGATGCTTACTGCTCATCCTACGTGTTTGCGTGATTCGTTTCCAAAATGTAATTTTAGAGATTTTTATTGTAAAATTATTAATTATCTCTTGTCCGCATTGTTGGAATACATGCTGCAATGTCATCATGAGAATCTTACTATCTGGGGGAAGTGTTACACTTTCATTATTGTTAACTAGCGTCCGTGTTAGAATTCATGTACAATAGCAAATGTCCACCGTTCTTTAAAGATAAACTAACTGCATTCGGAATGCCAATGATTTGGTGATTGGTGGCAGTGTGTTTAGACACAAGGATATACACAAGACAACATGGATTTCACCAGATGGATACACCAAGAACCAAATAGACTTCATCTCAATTTCGAGAAAGTGGAGACGGAGCCTACTGGACACAAGGTCAAAGAGAGGAGCAGATGTGGATTCAGGCCACTACTACAAGGAACTCTCAAGGTGAAGCTAAAAGCCCAGAGGATAGCTGGGGATAGGTTCAACACTCAATTACTGAAGGACACAACCACAAAGGACACTTTCACTGCAGCTGTCAGAGCAAAGAACGAAACACTACGCGAGATCACAAAAGAATCATGCGTGGAAGACAACTGGAACTCTCTGAAGGTGATTCTCAACTAAACGTGTTCAACGGTTTTAGGAAGAAAGAAGAGAAAAGACAAGGAATGGAATTCGACGGACACTTAGAAACTAATAGATGAGAGGAGAATGGTGGAAGAGAAAATGATTCAATGCAAAGACAGACAAGAGAAGGAGACGCTGAGCTCAACTTACGCAGCACTGGACAAAGAAGTGAAAAAAAGTGCTAGGAAGGACAAAAGACGATTCTACGACCACCTCGCCACTGAAGCTGAGAAGGCAGCAGGCAAAAAGGACCTGAGAACATTATATCAGATAACCAAATCTCTATCCGGGAAGAGATTAACACAAGTGAAACCTATAAAAGACAACCAAGGGAACCCAATTACCAAGGAAGAAAGACAGATTATGGCAAAAATATTCATTCAAAGAATAGTCTTTTCGATAAATTCCTCTTCCGGCTCTACAATTATATATATGTTTATATACACAGAATATTCTAGATTAGTAGTTAATAAACGTATCAGTGTTTTTTAAATAATATCGATTTGTAAAGTATGATATTGTATGATTTATAAAGTATGATATTTTACCATTGAGAAAGAAAAAGACTCTAGTATTCCATTTTTAGACGTCTTTATGACCAGAAAAGAGGATGGCACAATAAGAAGAAGTGTTTATAGAAAACCTACATCAGCGGGCCAGTACACACATTTTATCGGTTTTGTGCCCTTGAAATACAAACGCAATTTGATAAAGTGCCTAGTTCACAGAGCAAGGGTGATTTGCTCGGACGAATGTCTTCATGAAGAACTGAATAGTATTAAACGGTTGTTAAGTTAGAATGGTTATCCTGAAAAGATTATTGATAAGAATATGAATTTGAAACCAAAGCAGCCGAAGTTACCAACAGTTCCAAAAAAGGCCTAATTCTTACAGATGCAGTTCCTTGGGGACAAGGCTAGCAAGGAACTAACACAGCGCATTAGCGATGTGGTAAAACGAGCATTGCCTGCTACTGTATTATGTCGTATCTTTAAGACCACTCATCTTCTGCGTTCGGGAGTAAAGGACAAACTGCTCAATTTTGCCTCATCCATGTGTATCTTGTGGAGCCAGTTACACAGGTCGCACAATTAGGCGTGTTTCTCGTCGGATTTCCGAACATCACCCTGCAAAGTGGTCAAGTAAAGGACAAACAAAATCCATTCGTAGCGCTATTCTGTCTCATCTTGTGGATACAGAATACAAGATTAGTGTTAACCAGGCTTTCAGAGTCATTTAACAGATACCAACAAATCTTAACTTCGCCTTAAGAGTTTGATTACTAAATAGCGTTGAGGCTGTTGGGATCCACATTAAGAAGCCTAATTTATGTGTCCAAAAGAAGCTAGTTCAGACATTATCCTTACCTTAGCTATCTAGGTTTGAATGATCCTCAATTTTTGTGGAAATTTCCCTAATTTTAGTTGATATTTGATTTACTAATATATATTTATTATTATTATTTAAGCACTCTTTTACCTCACTTAGCCAGAAATAATCCTGGTAAAGAGGAAAGGTTGGGCATAAGTCCAGCAACCCCATCCTGTAAAAAATAAACACTGCTACAGAAACTTCAAGCCTCTAGCTTGAAGCTTATGTTCTACTGGGAACGTGAAGAAATAAAAAAATGAACTGTAATTCCATTGATCTTACCTGACAAATCGATATCATTTAAAAAACACTAATATTGTTATTAACTATCAATCTTCAATATTTTGTGTATATAAACATATATATATATAGTTGTAGAGCCGAAAGATGAATTTATCGAAAAGAATATTCTTGGCTGGATTATTTCGTGTTTTATAGATGTCTGAATGAATATTTCACTAATAGTTTTATTAAAAACTAATCTAGAATATTCTGTGTATATAAACATATATATAATTATAGAGCCGGAAGAGGAATTTATCGAAAAGAATATTCTTTGCTTGATAATTTTGTGTGCGTCGGTGGCACAGGGGTTAGGACTCTCGCCGACCATGCACATGGTTTGAGGTTCAATCCCCTGCCGACGCACACCTGATATCTATGGTCGGCCAGAAAAATTTGGGCTTCTGATATCCATGCTGAAAATTCCATACTTGTACCAAACATACAGTGTGGAATCAAGCTGTAAATAAAAACAAGAGCGGGCGGATCACTTCAAAGGTCTCTTGAACCGACCACCATCTGCAACCCATCCACAAATGCCAACAACAGCGTGCACACAACTGTAAGTTGACACCAATCCTCCAGCGACAGCTGAAGTCTTGAATGCAATCAAGCTTCTGAAGGCCAGAAAAGCAGCTAGACCAGATGGAATACCCCCCGAAGCACTGAAAGAGGACTCAGAGATGATAGCATATACGCTGACTCCATCATTATCATTAGTGAGACTATTTCTGAGAAAAATGGCTCCTTAATTAGCTCTCAGGATAGACGCCTTGAACGCTGGAAAGAACACTTTGAGGGACAATTTAACTTGCCTACAGCCACACTGAACCTCCCCGACATCCAGACACACCCGAATGGGATATAGACACTGGTCCGCCGTCTGTAAGTGAGGTCACAAAAGCTATCAGTAATTTGAAACGAGGCAAAGCGGCAGGACCCGACGGAATTATTCCGGAGGTGTTTAAATATGGGGGTGACATACTAGTTTGTAGATTAACTGAGGTACTAGGCAAAGTCTGGGAATCAGAGACAGTGCCATCAGACTGGGGTAAGTCACTTATTATACCGATATTCAAGAAGGGAAACAAGTCCTCGTGTGATAATCATAGGGGGATCAGCCTAACGAACATAGTCTCTAAAATCCTAGGCTCAGTAATCATGCATAGACTAAGCAGAACTCGGGAGGAACAGACAAGGGAAAATCAAGCAGGCTTTAGACCAGGTAGAGGGTGCATAGATCATATCTTCACTCTTCGACAGATTCTAGAACATAGACACACTTTTCGGCGTCCAACAATTGTCATATTTCTTGACTTGAAGGCGGCCTTCGACTCCGTGGATCGAAAGGTACTATGGCAATGTCTGACTGTGAAGGGAGTGCCAAGAAAGTACATTGCACTAATCAAGGCACTCTATTCAAACTCACGTAGTCGTGTAAGGGCTTATGGGGAATTGTCATCTGAATTGGTAACAACCAGTGGTGTCCGACAGGGATGTCCACTTTCCCCATTTCTGTTTAACTTCATCATAGATATGCTGATGGAAGTATCCTTAACTGAACGTAATGACTTAGGAATCGACTTGTTACCAGGGAATAGTCTTATGGACTTAGAATATGCAGATGACATAGTCCTGTTAGGGGAGGATGCTGACAAAATGCAGAGTCTTCTGAACACCTTGAGCAGCAATCTTCGTATGTTTGGCATGCGATTCGCCCCTGCAAAATGTAAGATGCTGCTACAGGACTGGACCACGTCAACTCCTAACTTAGTGATAGGGAGTGAAGTGATAGAACATGTTGACCACTTCACCTATTTGGGAAGTTGTATTAGCACCAACGGACTGATTGGCGATGAAATCTCAGCACGGATCCGAAAAGCTCGAGCTGCTTTCGCTGACTTACACCATCTCTGGCGTAGGCGTGACATCCGGTTATCAACCAAGGGACGTGTGTACTGCTCATCAGTTCGCTCCGTCCTTCTCTATGGCTCTGAAACATGGCCAATACGCGTTGAAGACATGAAAAGGTTGACTGCTTTCGATCATAGATGTCTGCGATCTCTGTCTCACGTTAGGTGGTTTAATAAGGTAAGTAATGTTGACGTTAGGCGTAGAGTGTTGGGCAAAGAGGGAAAATCAATCGACGAGGCTATAAAGTTACATAGACTAAGATGGCTAGGTCACGTGCTGCGCATGCCTAACCACCGCCTCCCCCGACGGGCATTGCTAGCTGATATAGGTGCAGGTTGGAAAAGAGCCAGTGGTGGCCAAACAAAAACATGGCCTCATCAATCCATGAAATCCTTGACAGTTAAACTGAGTCAGGTAGGGAGATGCAGACTCCCGGGTTGGGGCCCTCGGGACTCTAGGAATCAATGGCTGGAGACAATAGGTGACATGGCTCAAAATCGTTGTCAATGGCCAGCGCAGATGTATTCAGTCTCTGTAATCTTTCATATTCCTTTCTACCATTACCCATTCTGTTTCACTCTTATACTTGTCAAACTCTATTGATTCTCTTCACTCATCTTCTTGTCTACCTCTGTGTGCTATTTGGAACGTGGCAACTCGAACTGCTGCACTTCGGTGCCAAGATCTATGTTAAATCCAGACAGACAGACATTATTGCAAAAGGTCTGGAAGGTGAGAAAGGTGCCTACTGACTGCGGGAAAGGTTACCGCATAAAACTACCAAAGAAGGGCAACTTACAACTGACTCTGCAAGAACTGGTGAGGAATCACGCTCCTGTTGACGCCAATTAAAATCCTGAGTCGCATCATCCTGGAGAGAATAAAGAACGCACTGGAGACAGAACTCCGACCAGAACAAGCTGGATTCAAGAAAAGGTGAATCATGTTCTGACAAAATCGCAACTCTACGCATCATTATCGAACAGAGCATGGAATGGTAATCAAACCCCTACCTCAACTTCATAGACATTGAGAAGGCCTTCGGCAGCGTTGACCACGAAGTAACTACTCGAGTACTACGGCGTACCCCAAATATTCATCAAGCTCACTCAACAGCTGTTACAAAGACTGAGATGGTTAGGACATGTGTTACGTATGCCAAGCCATCGCCTCCCTCAACGAGCAGTGTTAGCGGATATAGGATCAGGCTGGAAAAAAGCTAGTGGCGGTCAAACAAAAACTTGGCACCAGTCAATGAAATCCACAACAGTTGGTCTAAGCCACGTAGGAAGGTGTAGACTTCCAGGCTGGGGTCCTCGGGACGGTAAAAATCTATGGTTGGAAACAATTGGTGACATGGCTCAAAATCGTTCTCAGTGGCGCAGATGCATCCACTCCTTGTGACCTATGATCTCCAATGAAACTGTTTTGTTCTTCGTTATTACTCTTCCTTTGTCTCACACCTCTGCTTACTGTCTCTATTACGCTTTTCTTGTACTTTCTTCTCTTGCTTCGCGTGCTACACGGAGTGTGGCGACTTGAACTTCCGCACATTTGTGCAAAAATCTATGTCGAAAACGGACAGACATCAGCTGTACGACAACGGAACATGTCAAGTAATTCCCAACGGAAAACTCAGTGAGGCGTTTGGAGTAAATACAGGAGTCAGACAAGGCTGCTGGCTTATTATCACCCACGATGGTATTCCTAATTGTGGTGGACTGACTGGATTATGCGTCAGACAGTGGGAAACGAGAATACAAGGATATTCTGGACAGACAGACGTGAAGAACCTAGAAGACCTGGATTTCACGCGTGGATGATTTATGCTTAATGTCACACAAAATCGAAGACTTCCAAGCGAAAACCGACAAACTGGTCGAAGAAGCAGTCGGCAGAGACAGGACTCCAGGTGGACATAGACAAGACGGTGGTTATGAAAATAACCAACCAACTGACAACAACAACAACATCAGCTGCAACATCCAGCGCCAATCACCATCATTGGGAGAGATTTGAAAGAGGCCACTTCATTCAGAGAACATTTCCAACAGCCTGTTGCAGACCAGACCTTTATCAACAACTGTCTTCGCTGAATCTATACTGAAGATCAGATGGCCGGGCCGGAAAGAATCACCAACAAGAAACTATGGGAACAAACAAAAGAAGAACCAATCGCCCAACAAATATGCAGGAGAAAGTGGAGATAGATGGGACACATGCTGAGGAGGCCGCTGGGTTACATCGCGCGTTAGGCTCTCGAGTGGGACATTCAAGGGTGACATGGAGGAGATTGCGTGAAGAGGAGTTGAAACAGTATGGGCTAACATGGAAGCAGGTGAAAAGTACAGCAGAAGACAGAAGCAAGTAGAGACGTGCAGTTGAAGCCCTATGTTCCACTAGGAACCCAAGAGAACAATAATAATAGTAATAAATTAATTCAGAATCCTGGATGCCTTTAGTATGACTGAATGATTTATACGCCAGTACTTGATTCTGGAACATTAACAACTGTTAAATGTGACAGACAATAATTAGGAACTGTTTTGAAGCAAGATAGGACTCAGGAAACTTAGATGATAAGGTTGAGCACGTCGTATTAAGAAGTAGCACCTTCATCTTCGGTTTTCACAGAATGATCTCAGCAGTTTCCACATTTTGTGAACACCTTTCAGCCAGGACAGAATGTTGACCAAATTTCTAGACACTGAGAAAAATATAGTCGGAATACACACAAGTAAAATGGGAAAAGGGAGAATAAGGAAACAGAAGTGTTTTTTCAGGGACTGAACTTTTATTTCAGAAAATATAAAACATTACAACTTTAGGGTTTTATTGAGTCATATTAAATCACCGTGAGATGGCATGCAAATGAATAAGGTCAAGGGTAATTGTAAAATATACTCTCCGTTATGGTTTGAATACCAGAGGATACAAGTGACACGAAAATAGACTAGTATATGCATGCTTCAGACAGACACAGAAGATCGAATATGGTTGATTAATCCCAAGGAGACAATATAATTCGTAGATTCTTGTTAATTACTTCAGTAATTCGATGTTATTTTTTAGCGGAAGTGTTCTGCTTACATATTTCTCTGTGAAGAAAACGTTTATTGGCGTAGTTATTACGATTGGGACAATATTTGGGTTTGGAATGGGGATTGGTTATTCGGTTGCGATAGCCTGCGCCGCCTCAGTAAGTTGAGAGATTTCGTGTTTTTATGGTCAAGTGATATATTTTACTGAGTTATAGTTATTCTTTCCTGCTCTCTTAGGCATAAGAAATAAAAATTCAATCTGTGGATACTGTTGGGCTGAGTGTATGGAAAAGCTGTTTGATTTAATGATAGCTTATTATTTCAGGTTGATTTTTTGTTAACTTTTTGGCTGAATATAATATAATGATTCTAGTCATGTGAGCGGAAAAATCGAAGACTAGGCGCCAATGGTAGCTATGAATGTTACACCTTTTATTTTAAAAACAAATGCATATCACCTCGTTTTCTAAATTCGTTCAGATTTTTTACATTTCTCATCTGCTTTCTTTAAAAGTAATCCGAATAATATCCTTAATCCAAATGATTCTGGTTATTGTAAAGCCTGAAATTTCACTTCGCATCACTAAAGGTTTGCTTCTTGATAATTCTAATTTCATCCTTTTATTCGATAAATTTGACCTTTTCCACTTGCTCTGCGTTTCTGGCATATCTTTTGCTTTCTTTCTGCTTGCTACATCATCATTATTTCTATAAAGCTACTAGTTACTTGTATGCCAGATGGTGCATACGGCACCGGTAGAATAACTGCGTTATAATCTGTTCTGTGTCTTTGCATTCCCTTCACATGAACTCTCCCATATAACTCGAGAACTCCCAACTCCTCACCTCATATTAGGCTTCCACTCGAGAATTTGACTGGCTTGTAATATCACTTGAGGATATCCTTAGCGCATTTACAATCTATCTTCACTTCCTCCTAAATATTTTTCGGGAATTACTTTCTCAGTTAATTCGATATCAGAGTCCCTCGTTGCTTTTTATTTATAAAAATCAGATCACAATTAACAAAAATTTATTGGCACCAAAATTTCACAGGGAAAAGTAAAGAGTAGAAATAATTAAACCATAGGGTAGTGACAGCCAAAAGGGTCTGTCGAAAATCCCTTAATTCTTTTGATGGTTAGAAAAGTTTGCAGAGGTAAGACAGATTTCACGCTTTTTTCTTATACACATGAGTTTGGGTGGTCCAAGTGACCCCTGGTGTGTGTAATTGTGATCTTACAACTAAACATTCAGTTTTGTCCCAACTTATTATTGGTTGAGTTATGAGTAGACAAGTTAAATTCGCTGAGCGTTCTCTTCTTGCTATTTCTTAGGCGTTGCGCTAGCGTATCTGCAATATTGTTACTATGGAGCTGTTTGTAATAGGCAGTAACGCAACAATTTAAAACTAAGTGGACATAGCTGCAAGTTAATATTTTTGCCTGAGCTCTTCATTTCTAGATTTCTTCAGAACTTTAGTAGTATTCTTCCAATTAGTTATTCTTCTTTGATTCCAAATCTGACAAAATGCTTTGAAGATATCTATAATTAAGTGAGAAGTCCTTAAAAACTAGAGATCATATAGTTTTCTTCTGTATCCAGCGAATGGTTCTACCATGCAAAACATATTGTAAAGTGATGGCTTAATTAACGTGGTCAATTTCAAAATGAAAATAATGCATCGGATGCTGGTGTTAGCTTTTAGTAAGACAAACTTCATTAGAATCTTCAGCTAACTGAATGAGCAGCAAATAATGTTAGGAATATCCCATATCACAATAAAAAAGCTCTTGTGAACTCTTGTGAATCCCCATTCGCTTCGTTTGCATTTCTCATTCATGTAAAAATTTCACGGCATCTTGTTTTATTTATGTATGTTTGTGACAGTTTGTAACAATTAATTCTCTAACTCAGATCCTGTCAAATACAGACCCCTCAGTGGAAATTACGGGATGTACCTTAATCCACAGCTCTTGCAAATTTTGCTTCTGTGTCAGTATCGTAGGCTGGACACAAGGCTTTGAAGTTATGCAGTGATTATATTGTTAGTCAACCTGTGTGAAGTGATTAAATAGCCCACTAATTTTAACTTCCATATGTTCGCTGTGGTCATTTAATGTTATCAGTGAGCTATTGCGCGTGACGTTACTTGGTGGATTCTAGCTATCACGATAATCCATCACAGCCCTTGTAGTCAGTGAGAGATGAGCAGTGAACTAATATTAACAGTGTTGGTTTGTAGGGATTTGATTGGTTTCACGATTTCATCATGAGCTAACACTAGTTAGAGAACCAATGGTTCATGATGAAATCGTAATATTGACAGATTGGATTAGTTATGATTTTAACTAACTTGAGTTTTTATTGTCCCTAAAACGGTATCTATTAGAAGAAATCAGTTTCCATCGATGGCCTCTTAATCCATGACATAAATTAACGTAAGAAAGTATGAAGTTAAAAAGTTTATACTTTTTAAGTGTTGAAATAGCCAGTATAATTTTAAGCAACTGAAAGTTGTATAGAGATATGAAATAAAGTACATATACTGCTATTGGCAAATAATTATATCATTTTCAAGTGATGTCTGAGTTCTGCTCTGTAGTAAACTAAAGTAATCTTCATCCTCTATCTATTTCAGTGGTTTCCAGAAAGAAGAGGACTAGTTGTTGGATTGATTGTTGGGGGGTTTGGTTTAGGGTCTCTAGTATTTACGCCTATCCAAACCAAATTTATCAACCCATCAAACAAAAAGGTTGATGAAGAATCAAGGTAAATAGATTAATACAATTTAAATCTTTTTTCATGTTTACATAATGTTTATCAATGCTGGCATTTTTATTCTACCTTCCTTATAACATTTTAGACGGCCGACCATCACCGGCTACAGCTAAGATAAAAGCAGTAGACCGAATTTCGTGGAAACAGATTCACCCATAATCACTTGACAGGTGTTGAAGGGTTTACAATTGGTGAGAAAAATGTTGCAATATTGTATTAGGGCAGGCGTTGTCACAACAAAAGATAATTTTATGATTTTATAGACTATGATTTATACACCTCCCTACAGTAATGTTTACCACATGATTTATCTTCACCTACTGTGTCTTTAAAAATTTCACATTGAGAGCAATCAGTAAATGCTGTTATCTGGTAATTCCGTAGCTTGTTGATAATAATAATACTTGCCACAGTTGTAAGGTGCAACTGTATCCATAAGTATTTTTATAATAAAAGTAGCAGCATAATAATCAGTAGCATACATTGTGACACTTTTGTGGACCAAAGCAAAATTCTAAACTGATTTCTAAATTGAAATACAGAGTGTTGAGTCAGCGAACTATGAGCATGTTCAGAATAATTCATAAAAAATTACTCCGTACACATAAACAGGAGGTCAGGTAACTGCTAGAATAACTGTCCCATAGATTAAATTGTCAGCTGTTCGGTGAATATGTAGAAGTCTGATGTTTGAGATACTTAATTGTGAATTAAATGTTTTTGTTGTTTTGATTCCAAGTTTAAGACCTTAGCAAATTCACACATTTAAAGTAACATCTATTTTAGGGCTGCCTTATTTCGACTCAAAGATGATTTCCTTGCCAACTATTACTAACTAGAATAAAACTCGAGAACACTGTACAGCTGTTTTGTCTTAGGTTAAGTCTCTTTAGCAACGGTGGTAAGCTGCCAAAATGATAACCTATAGTTCTTCACCTTGAAATAAATAAATAAAATAAAGTTTTTGAAAGTCATGTGCTTGCCTTGTAATCCGATACTATTAGAATCTGTGTTTAATGAGGTCGTGAGGGTATACTGCTGACCAACTAAGAGCTAGGCTGTCAAGCATCGCTAGGTTTCTTAATTCAGCCTAATATCTCAACGAATTCCCGTAAACTCAGGAGTTCTGTAACTTTTCACTTTTCCATGTAGTTAAAAATGAAATATATGAATTTTTATAAAACACAAAATAATTGAGTCAAGAATATCCGTTTCGATAATTTCTTCTTCTAGCTCTACAATTATATATATATATGTGTGTTTATATACACAAAATATTGAAGATTGATAGTTAATAACAATATTAGTGTTTTTTTTAAATAATATCGATTTGTCAGGTAAGATCAATGGAATTACAGTTAATTAAAGATGATTTACTTAAAATAATATTAAAAATATAATAGCAAATAGAATATCAACTAAAATTAGGGAAATTTCCACAAAAATTGAGGATCATTCAAACCTAGATAGCTAAGGTAAGGATAATGTCTGAACTAGCTTCTTTTGGACACATAAATTAGGCTTCTTAATGTGGATCCCAACAGCCTCAACGCTATTTAGTAATCAAACTCTTAAGGCGAAGTTAAGATTTGTTGGTATCTGTTAAATGACTCTGAAAGCCTGGTTAACACTAATCTTGTATTCTGTATCCACAAGATGAGACAGAATAGCGCTACGAATGGATTTTGTTTGTCCTTTACTTAACCACTTTGCAGGGTGATGTTCGGAAATCCGACGAGAAACACGCCTAATTGTGCGACCTGTGTAACTGGCTCCACAGGAATAGTTAAATTGTGTATAACTATACATATAATCGTAGATCTAGAAGAGGAAATCATCGAAAAGGATATACTTTGCTCACTTGTTCTGTGTTTTATAGATGGCTGAATAAATATTTTCGCTGTATAAATTTCTTTTTTCACTTATCTTAGCTTAGAGAACTGTTTTTACCCAATTTAATCTGGTCAAGAGTAGTTTTCAAGTTATCACGTGGGTTCCAATTTATTCTATACCATAAGTAATTGATGTCCTTTTTGTGAACAAAATTTGACTAACAGACGTTTACGATTATTTGTTTTCATTCACAAATAATAGATCACTGGTGCTGGAATTTTAAATTGAACGCCTTGTCGATCCTTTAAAAACATTATTCCAGTTATACATGTGATAGCTTTCTTGAACTGCTTATAAGCACTGTGCCATTAGTCTGAGTTTATAAAGATCTCATGATCACCATTTATATATATATATATATATATAATGTTGCTGAGAATACCCAGAGAATATTTGTCTCCACACTTTCTAACCAGTTCATCCTCGAATTAGTCCATCCTAAAAAGTCTGAAATTCTTGTATTATCTGGAAACACATGAGGTTTCCGATTTGCTTAGATCCTCATATACTTTAGGGAACACTCTCGTATTTATTATGTTTGCCACTTTACCGTTCAAGTTGCATAATAATGAGGTTTCTCCACTAATGATGGAAACGTTTGATGTAGGGGAGAAAATTCATAGACATTTTTGATTTTTCGGTCAGTATTCCTCAATTAATTTAAGTAGGAATGATTATGAATATACGAAGTACCACAGCAAAATTTAAACTCATGATATAGTTAAAAACAATATAACAATTTCGATGTCTTTATCAGAATAATTTTCTACTTTTATGCTCTTCGAGATCTGTTTGCTTTTTGCTAATCGTTAAGTAATCATAATAGGGAAAGTTGGCTCAGGTCAGAGAAACTTAAAGCCATCTTATATGCACACGTCAATGATTCCTGTTTTGACATTTTCAGATGTAACCAGTTTGTCTGGCAGTCATTAACAGATAGTGTAATTTTGTTGGCGTCTTTATGGAGTTAAGCCAAATGTTTTTAAAAAATATCTACCATTTAGTTCAGATTAAAAGATGCGGAAGTAAGGCACTTATTTAAAGTCTTCATAACTCAAAAATAGTGATTTTGCTAAATTTTGCATTTAAACATTGCAATATTGACTTTGTGGGGTACTGCAATGCATTTCCTCCTCTTTTATTTAACATTGTTTTAGCATGATGCTAGGTGATATAAAAAACCTTACTGTGTAGCTTAGATTTGCAAAGAATCTATTTGAGACGAGCAGAGACATTTTAAAGATTGGTTAAAGGTAATAAATTCGCATTGCCGCGTTGGTGGGTGAATACGGTGATGCTGGAAATGCTGCTAAATATTTTGTGTAACTTGAGCTCCAAGCCGTACAGTTATATGCTGTTCTGCAAGGTGATGTCAACGCCTATACGGATCTGCTGGTTGGTAACAAAACTTATGGGATTACATAACAGGAGAAATAATGAATAAGATACGAAACTTAGGTGGTCTTTCACAATCTAAAATCCTTAATTGATAAATATAGCCCCGTAATGATTATCATTAGAACTGTAAGCACATGGAAACTACAAAATTGTTTTTAAAAGCAAGAGATTCAGCGCATGTATTAGATGCATTTTAAAGTTAGAAGATTGGAAAATAAAAAAACAAGAAGAAATGAAAATAGATTGTATAAAAGTTAAAAAGACAACACAAAAGGCAACGACAATAAAACCGACTGGACAGACAGCAACTGAAAAAACAGTTCCGAATAAAAATAGATTCTGCTGTCAGCAGATGCATTAAGCATTAGAATTTATTCCGATAAATCACACAGTGCTGTACAGTTATATTAACTAACGAAGTTTCGAGCATAAATTATTGCTCATAATCATATCAAGTAACACACAACTTTTTCCTTTCATTTATATACATGGGTGGAATCGATTAGTTATTGGATTAAAAATCAATGTGAGATAATATCCATTCAGAAATAATAGTACGAGTGTTATTGACCCCTTGCAATTATGTGGGAAATACGACTGTTAATACAAGTGCTCTTTGTAGTCATAATAAGTTACTTGTTAGAATGTTTTGATGTGTTTGAATTGAAATAGAAATTTAAGATTATTTATTATCCCCTTCTGATTTGACCTGCGGTAATAATATCTTCCATATTTCTGGCATTTGCATTGAATCATTTCTGTTACATGTGTTGGGTGTAGACTCGATGAATAAGGATTCCGTAATCAACCTCTCTCTTCACCTACCTATATTACTTTTTAGAATTTCAACACTATCCCACCCTATTCTATGGTTGTTTGTTAATGCGTGAAGTGCAATAGCTGAGCTTTTTTTCTAAATTACTTATCTTTTCAGGGTCAACCATTCTTACCTTAGCTAAATTCTTATGTTCTGATAATCTGTCTAGCCCTGACCTACTAGTTTGACCTATGTAGTTGACCTCACAATCGTTGCAGGGTATTTTGTAAATTATGTTATTTTGTCTAATTGGGTCCATGGGGTCTTTTAGCCTACAGAGCTTGTCTCTGAGTGAGTTTGTAGGTTTAAATGCCACCCTAATTCCTGCTTTATTTAAAATCCTACCTAGGGTCTCAGATGTCCCCTCTTTATATGGTATAATTGTAGATGACTTATATTCCTTCTTATTTATGTTATTATTACTAGTTTCACAATTAATTTTCTTTTTCTTTTTGCCTTTTTCGATCTTCCTTATGAATTTTATAGGATAGTTATTTAACACCAAAGCCTCTTCTATCTTTTTAATTCATCATTTAAGTCTTTTTTTGTGCTACTTAGTGCTACTGCTCGGTTTGTTAAACACTTAACTAAGCCTGCCTTCGCAGACAGATAACGGACAACATGAATTGAAGTCTAAATATCTATTAGAATGAGTTGGTTTTCTGTACACACTAGTGTGCAGTTTTCCTTCTTCTATTCGTTTATTTTACAATCGAACATAGCTAATTTTCCTTGTTTATTTTTTCCGATTCAAATGGAGTTTTTATTCCCTTTTAAGAAGCTAGAGGTATGTTCTTTTTTTAACACTGTGAAAGTGTCATCCACATATCTCCACACATATTTTTGGAGTAGGATTAAACGTTTTAAGAGCATTACTTTCCCA